GAGGGGAAAATATTCAGAAATCAGTTATATAAGCATCCTAAACGAGCAGCGCACGGACAAAGCAGCATTGTTTTTCCCCGGAGGAGTGCTGAAATTGATGTTTTTAACCTCCTTTCCCAACACCTGCTACTGGCAGCTTCGGCAGGGAAGCAAAGCGTTGACACCGGGAGACGCAGGGAGGCGATCAGGTACGGGGGAAGATGGAGCAGCACCACCAGTCTCCTGTCCTCTTGGAGAGGTTCTCACCTCGAAGGTCTTCAGCACAGCTCCGTAAGGTCCAGAGGAGAGCTGTGTCTCTAGATTTGAGCCAGCTGAACCATTTTGAGGTGTTCTGAAAGCCTCCTGAACGCGACAAAGAGGAGAGCTCAGCTCAAGAGCAATCAACCACGCCTACGATGCCAAGCGGGCAGCAACGGTGCCAAGTGGGAAACCGAAGAAAGGACTGAATGAAATCATTCCGTAGACCTTCGCAGTTCTTTCAGCTGATAACACGTTGTCGACCTACCCAGCGGTATTACTTTGAGGTTTTTTCCTCGTTGGCTGCATCCGCAGCGGAGCTCCATCTGTAAATATTGAAGGCATCGCTTTGCTGAAGTGATTCATGCTTCCCTGTGCCAAAAAAAGTAATGTCTGAGAGCTGCTACACGGAGCAGTGTTTGTAGCTCAAACAGTCGCCCTCTATTTTTAGATGCACGGTGGAACCTTTTATTAGCTTTTCGCAACTTGGACTGCTCACAGAGCAAGGCTGGGAGCTGAAGTCAATGCTCGTGCAGGTCTGATTTCGAGGGGAATTAGTGGAAAGCAGAATCTGTGGTTGACTCTGAGCTCCTAAAATTGGAGAGCTGAGCTGAGCTGGATGGTGCTGCAGGTGCCAAGGGTATTTTGTGAGCGAGTACCCCTTTAGATATTGGCTTTGAAAGCTGAATAACTAAATCCCCTTCCTCTGGGGAAGGGTGTGAGGATGTTCCCTGTCTCTGCATGAAGGGTGGAGGGAAGTAGCGTGTTGCCATATGGAAATGACTGCAGCACATCAGCGTCTTGTAACCCAAAAATGTAACCAAGGACACTCAACTCACCTTATAAAGCGCTCTTACATCTCTTCTTGATGCTTCCAGCTGCAGTAAGAGCATACCAGGCGTGTATCAAAGCAGAGCCAAACAGGCAACAGGCTGCCTTTGCGGGGCTGCTCAGCGTAGCTCCTCCAGAGGATAACTTCAGGTCTTTATTTGGGAAATATTTCATGTATGAGTTCAGAATATGTGTGTGGTTACACAGTCAGATACTGGTATCTCGGTGTTCGGGAGGGTAAAATCAAGTTTCACCAAGGAAGGTTTGAATAAGCTTTACATTCACATTTTAATTCTCAACGTTGCATTTCAGCTTCTCTCTCTCTGTTTAATTGCATCAATAGTAAAAACATCAGGGATGTTTTTGGAACAAACTTTGACACTTGTAGCAAACAATATCAGTGGTGTAATATTTGCCCATTTCTTTGTTGTTCTTATCGAAGGCCTCCCACATTTTCATTCACAACCTCCTCCTGGAGAGAGATTTTCTCTGAGAATACACTTTTAAAAGAAACACTTCTTATTCATGCCACCTCTCAATTTCCAAACTGTATTTCCCCACTAGACTGCAGGGTTGGTACTTTGCAAATAGCAATCGTTTTTCATTCAGCTGAAATACTTCTAGAAGAAAGAACAACAAATGTATATACAGTTTCTTTAGATGTTTCCTCATATCTTCACTCCTAAGGAGGTAGGACCAAGTAGTGCTTAAAGAAGTGTGCGTGTATTTAAGCTCAAAAATGTTTGCTTATATCCTGAATTTTTTAAAATGCAGCTTGAAAGTTCATTAAGTGCCATTAGCATATATGGCACCACAGACCTGAAGACCTGACTGTCTCACTTTTTCTTCATTTTGCGCCAAATTTGGGTGACTTCTCTCTAGCCTCAAGTTTTCCAGAGTCTTTCTGCAAAGAACTGACAAAGGTGAAGTAACGGTGCTCGTCTGCAGCCCCTAGGAGCGCGTGATATATTATTATATATTCCCTGCATCATCGTTCTCCAAGAAGATAAGCAGAAACTGGGGATATTTCCCAATTTTCACTGTCATCTTTGCACACATAGAAGTTGTATGGCTTGTAAGGGAGGGCGAGATGTTTGGTGGGGCTGGAATTGCTGCCGCTGGTGCCTCGGCTCCATGGTGCCAGGGACCTGGATGTGGTTGGGCCCTAAAGCAGAGCAAGTTCGCAGGTGCTTTTGGAGAACATTCTGCCTTTCACTAAAGGAGCAGGTGAAGTTTGGATATTCCAGGTCAAATTATAATTTCAATATCAGGATTATCGGTGTTTAATGAAAGAAAATAGCAGCGTTTGGGGCTTGGAATGACATCAGGACTGCTTGGAAAGGGGCTCGGAGGCTTTGGGTTTAAGCACCTGATATTTATGGCTTTATATTCCTGGAGTGGGACTTTCAGCTTGGGTTTTTCCTGTGTTAATAACTGCAAATGTCTCATAATCCACAGATAGAGATTGTTTAAAGCAGGTGCAGTCACTTCAGTTTTGATGATTTCTGAATCTAATATGTGCTCCTCCTTGAATTGCTGGCTTGGTGCAGAGAAGCTTTTGGTCGAGAAAAATGTTTAATGATGTTTATTAACTTGTTTTGCCAGAGAGCAGGATGTGCTTCGCTGCACCTGAAGGTATTTGCTCAATTTCTTTATTTCTATTTTTACCTGGAATAATTTGTAACACCCAGCACAAACATACCAGGCCAAAAAGTTTTGACATCAGTGATTTAATACAATATTTTCATGGAATTAAAACCTTTTATTCAGTGAAATAGGGGCCTGATGGCTCTGATACAACGCAGTCAGACTCGATCAAGAGCTACAAATGCCCTTTTGGAGCACCGAGCTTTAGTGCTAGAACTGTCATTTTATTCTTCATGCAAGAATTACAACTAAATGCACCTCAGGCAGGTGGTTATGCTGGGGATGGCTTGGCCCGGCAGACAAGCATTACATGTAAATAAAAAAATTTACCTGAGCATTGCCTACATTAAGAAGTGATGAATTGCACCATTTATTCCACTTCATGCCACGTTTGCACATTATGAAACGGGATAATAAGGTTAATTTTTGAGAGCTTAATTTTGAGAGCTTAATTTCGGTGGGTAGTTTTATATTGGGTAATTGTTAATATCTTTTCCTTGGGTGAAACCTCACAGAACAGCTACAAAACCACCTAGAAAACTTCATGCAACGATGAACCTGGTGAAATACCATATAAATAATGCTTGTGATGCTTCTAAATTAAGTTTTTCATCCATTATGAAAGATTGGCAGCTAGTTTCTGAAGACCAGTATTGAGGGTCCTGAATTCTGGTCGTGTTCTGGTCCGCCACGGTTGTGCCGCGTGATTTTGGGTAAGGCACTTAAATTCTGCTCTCCAATGGTGATGTTAGTCAAAAACATGCAGTAACACAACGTGTTAGAGCAAAAATTGCAGAATTTTTGCTGGCCCGTTTTGCTGGCTGAGCAGTGAGGGGCTCTTGTGGTTGGAAACCCATCACGCTGCAGTCTGCTTCTGGCAAAGCATCCTGACACAGCGACTACCCAGTGAGTTCAGACTTTGTGTTTTCCATTTCAAGCAGGCCAGAACCTACCCAAATCGCTCATTTTTCTCATCTGTGTCAGCATCAGTCTCAAAGCTGTTGCTTCAGGTACCTCTTGCTGCAAAGAAACCTGATTTTGTGCGCGTCTCCCCACGATTTAACAACCCCAGACCTTCCTGCCCTACTAACCCTTGAGCCATCTTCGTTTCTGTTGCGATCAGGGGAATTTAAGTGAAGAGCAGTCGAATTTCCACTTGTTAAACATCTTTCACAGCCCACATTACGCATCGTAAAACCATTTCAGTGGGAACCTTGCACTGCCACCCATTTCTTCAGGCTCCTGCTCGCTGCGGGCAGTCGTGTTGCCCTTCCTGGCTGCTGCCTGTGCCGAGACTTTTGGCTGAAGCCTTGGGTAGGATTTCTGGTCAGCAATCCTTGAGATGTGGCAAAAAGCAGGGAACCTCCTGCTAGACCCCAAATCACTCAACAACCAGCGGGCGTTTGAGCTCTAGAGGTCCTTCCGTGGGGAAAGTGTAAGTAACAGTGTCCCACAGTGCTTACAAAGGGCTAAATTACATCAAAATCAGCCGTTAGTTCCTTCTACAGCCGTCTTTTAAGAAGACCATGGTGTGTTTCTTCAGGCACGTGCTTTAGGTCTTCAAGATTTGTGTTTGAAGTTGTTTTGGGGTTGGGTTGTTGAAGTCATTTTGGGGGTTGGGTTGTTGAAGAGTGCCTCAATACCTGTTTGGTTTAAAACTACTTTACGGCCTTCCTGGAAGCAACGTATTCGTATTTTTTCCATGCCTTTTCCAAACAACTCATGTTTCAGATGACTCTTTGCAAAAATGTTCATCGTGAGCTTTTTCAGATCCAGCCGGTGCCGTCAAAGAAAAGGGAAGAGGTCGGAGGTTTGTCCTACCTCGCCGACGCCTCGAGTTCCCAGGGGAGGGCAGGCGAGGGTGAAGCCCTCCCTTGAATGGGGAGGAATAAAGGGCCAGTGTTGAACATCCCACGAAGCCTTTCAGTAGGACTCTTTCCCAACAGCGTACGCAGCACCTGGTTTTATATCGGTTAAATCTGTCAAAGAAACGAGTCTTCATATCTTGTAGACTAGAAAAGATTTCACAAGTTATTCAGGGCGCAGACAAAAGAGCAGAAGTACAAATAAAGGCCAAGACCTCCCAGCAGCTGAGGCTTTTGTTTCACTCCACAGTGGGCTGCACATCACGCTCGGTCGTGCTCTCTAGAGCCAGGAAACAAAGGAACCCTGTTGATGTTTACTTTGGCTCAAGGCAGAGACAGTTATTTTAAATGAGTTAATAAACACGGGCAGCGAACTACGATGGTCTGTGTAATGTTTTCTCTCCTTTTTCCCCTCTGTAGGTCACTCAGATGAGTCGTCCAGATCTGATTCTCTTTCTCATGAAGTATCTCATGGCTTTGGTAGTTGGGATACCCTCCGTCTTCTGGGTTGGAAGCAAAAAGACCTGTTTCGAGTGGGCTAGCTTCTTCCACGGGCGCAGGAAAAAAGAGTGAGTATTGATATCTAAGAGATAAACTAGCTGGGAATGGGCAAATAAACTCATTCCTCATTGTCCTGGTGTAGTATTTTGACCAATCTTTTATGGAGGCAAGGATGGGAGCAGATAGGGTCAGCTTTCTTGGAAATCTGTCGTTATTTACAGTGGAGCAAGGAAGGACAGGACAAGAAACAGCTCCAAAAAAAAACCTGAAGAAGTGTGACACATTTTGCCATAATTATTTTCTAGTCCCAGAAACAAATTTACATCGTTCTCTCTGTTTCCAAAATATTTTTTAATGAGAAATGTAGTATTTGGTTAAATATTAACAACTGCTCTGCCTTACGCTGAGGGGTGCAATTGATGTTTTCATTTCTGAAGGTACCTACCTGCCCAGCTGAATCACACCTTCAAATTGAAAGTAAACCTAAGCTGTTTTCACCATGGTTGCAGTTAAAAGCCATTGTCTCTGCTCCTAATATTCACGTGTGCATTAGACATCAGTGCCAAAGCAGTTTGATAAAATTACAGTGAGGGTGTGTTGCAGCTTCCTGAAGGCTGAAATCAATTTAGACTGAGGTATGGCATAAATTTAGGGATAATCCATGTGATTATGTAATAGCTACGAGTAGCTATTCTCCTAGTAGTAAATATTGTCTTGTAAGCAGCTGTAAATGAGCTCCACAAACACAGCAAGCCTTCAAGTAGTGCAGGATCTGCTCCGTGACTTCAACTTGTCCATCTGTAGCAGAACTGGCCTTGTGCTGGGGTTAAAGGAAAATTAAATCCTGTAGAGTTGGAGCAGAGTTGTATTTATTCAGAAGATAACCCAGTGAGATATGCACGGGGTTAATTTAATAAGATTTTAAGACATGTACATACATTTAGGTGGGATTTACGTGGGGGTGACATACTCGTTTGGTGGGCAGAGGACAGGAATAGAGTCAGCAAAGGCAGAGGAGGCTGTTCTAGGCTGTTCTTGGACCTGCAAGAAAATGAGGAGGAGAAGCGGGGGCAGATGGAGGACACTGAACGTGAAAGAAAAATACAGAGAATGGGGGAGGAGAGGAAGAAACATCCCCACAAAAAAAATAGAGGAGTGCAGGTGTGGTAGCACCTCCTTTCACCCCACTGTGGTGGAGCAGCCGAGCACGGGTCCCTCTGCCACCCCTTGGCAGCAAGGGGATTTCACAACCAAGAGCTGTGGGACCGTAACCGCTGCGTGTCTAGGCTGGAGGAGCAGATGCAGGGAGGATGGAGGAGACGAGAAGTGAACCTCACTGAAACATCCAAATGTAGGGGCGCTTCGAAATTAGGTAAATGGAGCCATTATGATGTAAATAAGCGGCCTGACTTGCCGAGCTGTAAGATTTGACTTGTTCTGCTCGTAAAATGCTTCCAGTGCTGTTGCTGTGATCGTTTTCCTGCCTCTTATTGCAGCAATTAGCATTAACTATTCAAATTGCAGAGTTGTAAACGAGAGTCGCCAAGTGCTGCAAGAGCCGGATTTTGCTCAGTCTCTTCTGCGAGACCCCAACACCCCCATCATCCGAAAATCCCGAGGCACTTCCACCCAGGGCACCTCCACCCACGCCTCCTCCACCCAGCTGGCGATGCTGGACGACCAGAGGAGCAAAGCGGGCAGCGTCCACAGCAAAGTGAGCAGCTACCACGGCAGCCTGCACCGCTCGCGTGACGGCCGGTGAGCGTCCTTCTCTTTAAAGTCTTGTAGAAAGTTGGGGGAGCCTCTGCGAGCCAGGGGGTTGGCCACCGGGTTGGTGAACTGGGAGTTCTGCTGGTGTTTGTGTTCTCTGATCGCATCTCCTCTCCTTTTTAGTGTTTAGGTTAAAAAGAGATAAATCACCGTGAGGTTTTCGGGGCCTGGGTCAGCACTGGGTGTCCTGCAGGCGGTGATCGGTGCTGCACCAAGTGCGTGGGGGACCAGAGCTGTCCTAAAATCAGTTTGGCACTTCTGTGTGTAAAAGGATTTGGTTTCTGTGACTACTCATAGCCCTGCTGCAATAACCAGCACTGAGTTACCCGCTCTAACTCGAGTAGGGAAGCGTTATAACACCATTTATCATCGAGTATTTACCTCATTACCAATATTCTGCACAGCACTACGGCAAGAACCAGGCTGCACGAGGAGCTGGAACAACTTGCCTGAGGCTCCGTGAGCTCAACAACCGAGCAGGGAAACCTTTCTTCATAAAAGCCGAGGGTTTGAGGGTTCGTGTAGGTGTTTGCTCACACAAACTGAGATTTCTTTCCATCCTCAGTGCTGCTCACAACCCTCCTGTGCTCTCCCCAACCAGGTACACCCCCTGCAGCTACAGAGGCGTGGAAGAACGACTACCTCACGGCAGCATGTCGCGACTGACCGATCACTCCAGGCACAGCAGCTCCCACCGGCTCAACGAGCAGTCGCGTCACAGCAGCGTCAGGGACCTCAGCAGCAACCCAATGACTCACATCACGCACGGCACCAGCATGAACCGCGTCATCGAAGAGGACGGGACCAGCGCTTGATCGCCTTGCCCCCGGGGAAGGAGAACTCGCCGGGGCTGGAGGGCTCGCGGGCCCCTCGGCAGGTGCTGATCTTTGCATCAGGAAGCCGAAACGGGCTCCTCCGTTTCGGAAGCCAGAGTTGTTGGGAGTTGCCTCAGAGCTCGAGCGTGCGGCGAGTCGCGAGCTACCGAGTAAAAAGCCGGTTGCCTCGTTTGAGCCTACCCCTAGGGAATTATTTATTTTGATAACTCTTTACCCAGCGTACGCCGTGGCTGAATTCCTTACGCTTTGTTTAAAGAAAAAACCTTCCCCTCCCTCCCGTGTGGCTGCGTGTCAGCAGGTGTCACCCTTGACATCTCCCGGTGGGCGTAAGGAAGCTCTCGAATGCTGAAGGAATTCCTCCACGCGGCTCTCTGGCCAGATAACAAACTGATAACGTGTTCTCCTCGAGCACAGGGGGAGGGCCCCTCTTCAACACTGTATAAAGGACACGCGGCGGGCAGTTTGAAGTGGCAAACACTGGAAATGCGACAGAGGAATGAGCGCTTGGCAGAAGGAAACAGAATTGTGCCGAGGAGCTCCCGGAGCTGCTTGGGCTCAGTCGTTGGGATGGGGGTGGAGGGCGGGGGGGAGGAAGGAGGCAGGGAAGAGTGATTTTTGTATAACTTGTATTGTCCTCGCTTTTTTTACGAAATACTATTTAAATTTTCTACTCGTTTACAATTTATGTAGGCAAAAGATGGATTTTAAAAGCAGTTACCTAGATGCTATTCAGCCAGTTATTTTTCGATGGATGTACAGAAGCTGAGGTTGCCTGTTCCTGGCTATTCAAAGAGAGACTAGAAAAGCTGGATTTGTCACCCAAACGGGGACGTGCAGCCCGTTCCTTAAAAACAGAACAAATCCCGTTTACAAATCCCGCAGTCCAGGTGAGGAGGGCTGGGACCAAAACGGCCTCGAGGAGCTCGGTCGGGGGTGGCCGCCCACCTTCCTTGTGCTACCACTGGCTGTTTCCTGTTTTTTTTTTTCCACCGAGCAGGAGGTTGGACCTGGGGGACACAAATCAAGGCAGGAGCAGAGCCGAGGGAGCTCTCTGATTCTCGAGGTATCCACCACAACCCGCTGGCTCCTTCGAGCTCGCATTCCCAATCATCCCAGCCTCTGCTCCAGGTTCTTTTCTTTCCATTCCCTCCTGTAGGTTCGCAGCAGAGGATTCAGTTTGGGCTTTCCTGGTGTGTAAATATCTCGTTGGGGTCCAGCAAAGCCTTCGCTGGCACTGCAGGCAGAGGTCAAGGCATGGGGTCGGGTGGCGCAGCGATCTTCCGAAGCATCTGCTGTAAGATTCGTTAAACCTACCTCAGTAATTACTGCAGATCCTTGCTGGGAAGCGAATACCTGATTTTTTTTTTGCATTGTCCTTACATAATTCCCTCTCTGACCTGCTTGAGGCGTGTCGAAAAGCCTTTGCACATGCCTGGATGGCACAACCTCGAGGGCAGGAGTAGGGCAACAACCACGACGCGCGCTTCAGAGGCTTTTTTTGAGCGGCAGAAACTGAGCTGTGCTCCAATTAGGCGTGTTAATTGTCGTGATGACACAACAGCGAGGCACGTTAACCGTGCAGCCTCCGAAATCAAAGGCTGCTCGGGGAGCCGTGGTGTCTTCTAGAGAGATACCTACTGTAAATCATCTTTCTTGCTTCCACCAGGCTTTTGTTCCAAAGGAGAAGCACAAACCAAAAGCACCAACAAAAAAACAAAGCTCAGCAAGGGCTCTGCACCCTCGGGGGCGCTGCGAGAAAGAAATTCGGCTTCTACTGAACTTCCTGCTTCAGAGGGATGATAGTTTTAGGAATCTGCATCTGCAAAAGAAGCCAGATTACGGGAGTTCTTGTAAACGTGGAGGTCAAGTGGTTGTCTTGATCTTTTTGGCTAAATTTCCAGCTGCTGCGCTTTGGTAATCGGAGCCCGGCTTCGAGTCAGGGAGGGGAATGATGGAGGCCTGAAGTACGTCCTCCCAGAAATGTGCTCAGTTGTGAGGTTTAATCCCCGCGTTGTTCCAGGGTGGGTGTGTTTAAGCATTTCCCCCAGAGCCCTCCCACCACCCAGGGAGGTGATTAAAATGGACAACTCACTTCTGGGTGCGTTTTTTTTTTGCCCTTTGTCCCTCCCGAGCAGTTGCATGCTGCGGCCAGTGCACGAAAACACCGCTCTGCACCATCGTGCTGGCAAAGCTTCCAGCAAAACCCACGGCTTCTTACTCCTGGGGAATTGCATCTCCCTTTTTTCCCCCATCCCTGTGCGCCCTTGCCAGCCATGAGTCCTGGAGAGATGAGTGCCAAGAGCTCTCCATGGGCTTCGCTTGGGGTCAGAACTGCCCAGGGGACAAAAGAAAAGGCTCAGAAAATGCAGGCATTGCCCCGTCCCCATGCCAGCAGTGTCCCCGAGGCTGTGATATTTGCTCTTTTTTCCTCCCTTTGTGGCTCCCACCCGTCACCAAACCCCGTGAAGCGACGCTGTGGCCGCTGCATGGAAAAAGCTGGCTCCGCAGCACGGCATCTGCCTCCCTGCTGGCTCCTGCAACGCCTAAAAGCCCAGCGGCAGCAAAAAAAGCCACGTTTTTCTGTGAATGTGTCCCTCTGCTCGCCTGCCCTGCCTTTTCTTAGCGCCCGGAGCTCAGTTTAGCTGTGCTGCTTTAGCTGCCGGCCGTACAAAGCGCCCTCAATGCCTGCCAGATGTGGGCTGCGTGCCTGTGCCCTGGCTGGGAGCAGGGCTGCCAAAATTGTCCCGGCGAGGAGGTGAAGGCAGCTTCTGCCACCAAAACCCCTCGGGGCTGCAGGAGGAGCCTGGCAAGGAGCTTGGAGCGGGTTTGGGGGCTGAAGACCCCAAAAAAAGCGAGCAAACCGGGCTGTGGAGCGCACATCCCTGCGCGGGGGGCACGGTGGGGCAGCCTGAATGTCGAGTTGAATGTGAAATGTCCCCGCTGCGCCAACGCACACCTTCTGGGAGAGATCAGGATTCGTTTTCCTGAGCGGTGGGGATGTTGCACGCAGATTTTTGCCATGCCCTGAGCCACCGGTGCTGCCGTCTCCGCGGGCGGTTGCTTGGACGCGTGGCCGGGCTGTGGCTTCATTTTGGGGTGAGAAAAGGAAAGTTTGGTGCTCGTCAGAGCCGTGCGTAGGGGGCACGCGGGGCTGGTGCCCGCCGGGAGCTGGTTGGAGGCGCGCTCGGCTCCCCGCTCGGCTTTGTTTACAGTAGTCCAGTGTCGGTTTTGTAACGTTTAATTTTTAGCACTTTACCTGTGAGTGTACGAACTGGTTCCGTTGTAGTGGGTGTACATTTTAATTTTAGACCTTGAAACGTTTTTAATAAAACCGTGTAAAAACCCTCGTCTCTCTGATACCTTGGCCTGCATCCCCCTCGAAAGCCCCGTTTTTTACGTCTCACTGCTTTTCTCCAGCAAGCAGCGGTCCTAACGAGGAGAAAAACTTTCTAACCCTCATGTGGCTGTAACATCGGTACTCACGGGTGCCCGGTGTCCTTCCAGCACGAGGCAGGATCCAGCTCTGCTTTGTTTTACCCTCGCTGAGCAGCCGAGAGCTCCAATATCAGCAGTGTGCAGGCAGCGAGCTCAGGAATAGCTCCAAGGTGGGGAGAAAACGGGGCTGTTCTGGGCTTTGGGCTTCCTTTTTTGGGGGTTTGGGTGCTGCGTTGTCTCTCGGTTTGTTCACAAGAAGGCGATGGTTTTCCTCCTGGCTCCTGGTCGTGGCCCCACATCCAGGTCAGAAGGCGAGGAGCTGCTGGATGAGACCCAAACCGCGTCGCTGCTGCTTCCTCCCCGTAGGGACCAACCCAACCTTTCTGCTGCAGGTTGCTTCTGTAAAATAAAATCTTCGTTTTTGGAGAAAAAGTAAAACCCAGGGAGGGTCTGGCTTTGCTTTTGGGTCTAGGGGAGGTGGGAAAATCAGCTCTGCTGCTCCCAGGAAGCATCTGAGGAAATGTTTTTAGCACTCAGCTTCAAACACTGACTTTATTTCTTGGTGTTTTGCCTTGGAACACACCAAACATCCTCTGTTTTCATCCTGCGGGGCTGTTAAATCCTCCTTGCTGGGTGCAGGCACATCCCCTGCGCTGCTGCTCCCGTCTGCTGGCCCAGCGACGGAGCGGAGGGCTCCCGGGCGTTGCAAAACGCGCTGAAAAATCCCTTAAGGCCCCAAATTGCAACCTAATCCAGCTACAAATCCCACCTGGAACCCGTCAGCAGCGACGAGCCCCGACATACCTCGCTCCCGCCGTGCCTTCAAAGCCCGCTGCTCTCCCCCGCTGCGATCAGATAAGGCTCTGCCTCTGCCAAAAGACGCAGAGCAGCTGCTTGGCTGCAGAAAAAATGGGATTAAATCAAAGTTAACTTTGCTCCTAATTTATTTTTTTTTTTGAGGAAAGGCAGCCGCTCCTGTGCCGGTTCTCCCCTGCACGGGGTTTTGGGGTTTTCCCTGCGCTCCCCGAGGGGAGCGGGATGTCGCCAGCCCCTCGGAGATGCCACAAAACCCGGCCGCGGCCAAATATTTGGGGCAGATCCAAGCCTAAACACCAGTTTGACTCCAAATTAAACCTTCCCTAATCCTCCCCTGCCACCCACCAGCCCCCTGACCCTGCCCTGTTGATGTGCTGCAGGAATTTGGGGAGGCTGCGGCCCCATTGGGGTGTGGGGGCCCTGTCCTGGGAACACGCAGCAGGCTGGAGGGGGTAGGACGCAAATTTTCCTATTTTTCGCTGAAATCCCACAGAACGGTCTGGGTTTCAAAGGGGCTCCCACCCTAAACAGAGCCCCTGTAAATCAAGGAGCGATTTTTTCCCTAAATGTGAACCCTCCTGAAGGGTTTTTCCTCCCTCCTGGGGCAGCACTGGGGCTGGGGGGGGGCTTAAAAAGAGTTCTTAGGGCAAATGGGGTGCGGGCTCATCCCAAAAGAGATTTAATTAGCTGCGGCTAATTACGAGGCCTCATCCTACTGGGGCTGAGGGTTTTGGGAAGCCCAAACATCCCCCAAAAAGCGCCATCCCCGGAGGCCAAGCGGGATTTTCTAGGCAATAGTGCCCCCCCGTGTGCCGGGCGGGCTGCAGCCACGAGTGGCAGCAAAATCACCACCACTAAAAACATAAAAAAAAAGCCCTGAAAATGCTGAAAATGCAGCAAATTCGGGGCTTTTTCGGGCAGGAGGGGATTTGGGGTGGGGGTAATTCCCCGCTAAGGCAGCGCAGGGGAAGCTGATTCCTTTTCCCGTTCTCCCAGACTCTTTAAAATACATCAATAATCGTATTTTTTATTTTTTGGGTGCGTTTTTAAAGCCCAGCAGCCAGGTGCTGACCCCAGCCCTCCAAACCGTGCAAATACGAGGAGGAACGGACAAGGAACTTTCAATGAAACGGCCCCGTTTAACAAATTTAAGAAATTCCCAATAAATCGGCGCTATGGGAAGTATTTAACGTGTCAATAAAACCAAACTCCATCCCCAAAACCCCAAAAACGCCCGAAACCCCAAAAAGCTCCCGAATAATGGGGGGAGGTTTGGGTACCAGGCGTATCACCAGGCCGGGGTCCGAATTTCCTCCGCTCGGAGCAAAAAAGGCTGAGCCTGCGGGATCCGGCGCTGGCAGCACCGATGAGCTGATTGGAATCAAAGGGAAAAAAGGTTAAAATTAAATAGAAAATGTTAAAATTGAAGGGAAAAGGTTAAAATTAAAGGAAAAATGTTAAATTCCCCACCAGGTCCCCAGGAGCTGCCCCAGAGGCTCCTCGTGGGGCTCGGCTTCACCTTTTTCACCCCCTTTCTCCTCAATTATTTCTCCCCAGCTGCATTAATTGCCCCCAGCCGCACTAATTGCCCCCCCAGCTGCTCTAATTACCCCCATCATGTTAATTACCCCCCAGCTGTACTAATTGCCCTCAGCCGCACGAACTCACCCCGCTGCATTCATCGCCCCCCAGCTGCACCAATTCCCCTCCCCAGCTGCATTAATTGCCCTCCAGCTGCATTAATTAGCCTCCAGATGCATTAATTGCCCCCAGTCTCATTAATCACCCCTCCAGCTGCATTATTTGCCCCACAGCCGCATTAATTGCCCACCCCAGCTGCTCTAATTACCCCCAGTTGCATTAATTGCCCACCCCAGCTGTATTTATTGCCCCCAGCTCCATTTTTACCTCTAGCTGCTCTAATTATCCCCCAGCTGCATTAATTACTTACCCCAGCTGCATTAATTACCCACCCCAGCTGCATTAATTACCCCCAGCTACATCGCTTCCCCAGATGTTTTAATTGCCCACCCCAACTGCATTAATTGCCCCAGCTGCATTAATTACCCAGCTACACTACTTACCCCAGTTGCATTAATTACCCCCAGCTGCACTAATTACCCCAGTTGTATTAATTGCCCCCAGCTGCACTAATTAGAGTACCTAGAGCTGTATTAATTGCCCCAGCTGTATTAGGTACCCCAGCTGCATTGATTACCCCAGTTGCATTAATTAATTACCCCCAGGTGCCTTAGTTACCCCAGAGCCACACTAATTACCCTTAGCTGCACTAGTTACCCCCACTAATTACCCCCAGCTTCACTAATTAACCCTCCCAGATGCATAAATTGCATCCAGTTTTACTAATTACCCCTCTCAGCTGCACTAATTACCCCCCCCGCTGCACTGATTACCCCCTCTCAGCTGCATTAATTACCCCCAGCTTCACTAATTGCCCCCCCAGCTGCATTAATTGCCCCAAACTTCACTAATTGCCCCTCCCAGCTGCATTAAGTGCCCCCGGGCTGCACTAATTACCCCCAACAGCTGCATTAATTACCTCCAGCTTCACTAATTACCCCTCTCAGCTGCATCAGTTGTCCCCCAGCTGCACTAATTACCCCCTAGCTTCATTAATTACCCCTCTCAGCTGCATTAACTGCCCCCCGGTTGCACTAATTACCCCCCAACTTCACTAATTACCCCTCCCAGCTCCACCAGTTACCCCCAACTTCACTAATTACCCCTCCCAGCTCTACCAATTACCCCCAACTTCACTAATTACCCCTCCCATCTGCACTAATTACCCCCCAGCCTCATTAATTACCCCCCAGCCTCAATAATCCCCCCCCGTTTGCACTAATTACCCTCCAGCTGCACCAAATACCCCCCCAACTGCCCTAATTACCCCCCAGCCTTACTAATTACCCCTCCCAGCTGCCCCAATGCCCCCTGGTTTCACTAATTACCCCTCCCAGCCTCACTAATTACCCCCTTTAATCACTAATCCCCCCCGCCGCCATTTTGAGGCTCGGCCACCAGAGGGCGCTGGCGGCGCGGCCTCACCGCCTCCTCCCACAATGCAGCGGGACGGCCGCGGGCTCCGCGCGCCTCCTGCCTTCGGGCTCCCTTCGGCTCCGCTCGGAACCGCTTCGGCTCCGCTCGGCCGGGCTCGGAACCGCTCGGCCGGGTTCGGAACCCTTCGGAACCGCTCGGAACCGCTCGGCTGGGTTCGGCTCCGCTCGGCGGGCCGCGGCCGCGGGGTGAGCGCGGAGCCCCGCGCAGCCCCCGCCCGCCCCAGGTAAGCGCGGCCCCGGCTTTGATTTTTTCCCTTTTTGTTATTTTTTTCCGGCTCTCGTCGCGTCCGTTTGTTTATTTACCGGGTTAGGTTTGAATTTGACCTTTTACTTCAATTCTTTTTTCCGCTTCTCGCGTGTTATTTACGCGTTCACGGTACTTTCCCCGCCTCGCCTGATTTGCCCGATTTTATGGATTTCACCGCATTTTTGTCAGTTCGCTTTCCTTGGGGTGCTGCGGTTGTTTCACCCCGCTTCTCTTACCTTATTTCACCCGATTCCTCCTACTTTATCCATTTCACCCCCCTTTCTCTTACTTTATTCCACCCAATTCCTCTTTATTTCACCCCTTTTCTCTTATTTTACCTATTTCACCCTCTTTCTCTTACATTTTTCACCCCCTTTTTCTTACTTTATTTCACCCATTTTCTCCTACTTTATCCATTTCACCCCTTTTTCTTATTTATTTCACCCCCTTTCTCTTACTTCATCCATTTCACCCATTTTCTTGTACTTTTTCACCCCGTTTCTCTCCCTTTAATTATTTCACCCCATTTCTCTTACCTTATTTCACCGATTTTCCTTTTCTTTCATCTATTTCACCCCCTTTCCCTTCCCTTATTTATTTATTTCACCCCATTTCTTTTACTTCATCTATTTCACCCCCTTTCTTTTACTTTACTTTCTTATTTCACCCCATTTCTCTTATTTCATCTATTTCACCCCTTTTCTCTTACCTTATTTCACCCTTTTCTCATCATTTCTCTATTTCACCCCTTTGTCTTTTTTTTTTTCAC